TCCCATTACTGGGTATATATCCAAAGGATTATAAATCATTCTACTATAAGGACACATGCACACGAATGTTCATTGCAGCACTGTTTACAATAGCAAAGACCTGGAACCACCCCAAATGCCCATCGATGATAGACTGGACAGGGAAAATGTGGCACATATACACCATGGAATACTATGCAGCCATAAAAAACAACGAGCTCGTGTCCTTTGTAGGGACATGGATGAACCTGGAAATCATCTTTCTCAGCAAACTTACACAAGAACAGAAAATCAAACACCGCATGTTCTCACTCATAGGTGGGTGTTGAAAAATGAGAACACATGGACACAAGGAGGGGAGCATCACAGACTGGGGTCTGTCAGCGGGAAATAGGGGAGGGACAGTGGTGGGTGGGGAGTTGGGGAGAGATAGCATGGGGAGAAATGCGAGATATAGGTGATGGGGAGGAAGGCAGCAAATTACACTGCCATGTGTGTACCTAGGCAACAATCTTGCATGTTCTCCGCATGTACCCCCAAACCTAAAATGCAATTAAAAAAAGAACAAACCAACCATATATAATAAGCACAGAGAAAAAGCAATAAATATTAATATGGTCACAGCCTACAGGCATCTGAAGAGAAAAAATAAAAGCATCCTAATTGGAGGAAAAAAGAAAAAGATGAAATCAAGTATTTCTTCACATACAATCTTATTCTATGCCTAGAAAACCCTAATGACTGCCAGAACACTCCTGGGACTGATGGAACTGATAAACAACCTCTGTAAAGTTTTGGAACACACAATCAATGTACAAAAATCAGTAGCATTTTTATACACCAATAACATTCAAGCTGAGACCAAAATCAATAACAATGAAAGCAATCTCATTTACAGTAGCCACACACACCAAAACCAAAATAAAACAGAAACCCTAGGAATACATCTAACCAAGGAAGTGAAAGGACTCTACAACCTGAACCAAATAACATTGCTGGACAAAAGTATAGATGGTACAAACAAATAGAAAAGCATTCCATGCTCTTGGATAAAAAGAATCAATATCATGAAAATAACCGTATTGTCCAAAGCAATCTACAGATTTAATGCTATTTTTATAAAGCTGCCAACATTATTTTCACAGAATCAGTAAAACCTGATCTATAATTCATATGGAACCAAAGAAGAGCCTGAAAAGCCAAAGCAATACTCAACAAAAAAGAACAAAGCCAGAGACATCACATTACATGACTTCAAACCATACTATAAGGCCACAGTAACCAACTCAGCATGATCCTGTTATAAAAACAGATACATAGACCAATGAAACAGAATAGAAAACCCAGAAATAAAGCTGAACACCTATAGCCATATGATCTTAGACAAAGTTGGATAAAAAGAAGCCATGGGGAAAGGGCTCTCTATTCAATAAATGGTGCTGGGACAGCTAGCTAGTCATATGTAGAAGAATACAACTGGATTCTTATTTTTCACCATATACAAAAATTAATTCAATATGGATTAATGGTTTAAATATAAGATCTCAAACTATAACAATCCTAGATAAAAATTTAGGAGACACCATTCTGGACACTGGCTTTGGGAAAAAATGTGTAACTAAGTACTCAAAATCAATCACAAGAAAAATAAAAATCTGGCAAGTGAGACCTAATTAAACTAAAGAGCTTCTCACAGCAAAAAAAAAAAAAAAAAAAAAAAAAAAAAAAAAAAAAAAAAAAAAAAAAAAAAAAAAAAAAAAAAAAAAAAAAGTTCAACAGAATAAACAGAAAACCTACATAATGGGAGAAAATATTTCTAAATTATGCAACTGACAAAAGTCTAATATCCACAATCTGTACTTAAACAATTCAACAATCAAAAATCCCAATAACCCCATTAAAGAATGGGCAAAAGACATGAACAGACACATCTCTGAAGAAGACATACAAGTGGCCAAAAACCACATGAATACCATTTTCTACTATCACTAATCATCAGAGAAATGCAAGTTAAAGCGACAGTGAAATACCATCCCATACCAGTCAGAATGGTTACTATTAAATAGCAAAGAAAAAGAAAAAAAAGATGTTGGTTGAGATGGAAAGATAATGGAATGCTTATACACTGTTGGTTGGAATGTAAATTAGTTCAGCCACTGTGGAAAGCAGTTTTGAAATTTCTCAAAGAACTTATTATAATAGAACTGTCATTCAACACAACAATCCCATTACTACATGTGTGCCCAAAGGAAAATAAACCACTCTACTAAAAAGACATGTAAACTTGTATGTTCATTGCGAAAATACACTTAATTAACCTAGATGACCATCAACATTGGATTGAGTAAAGAAAATGTGATACATACAAACCATGGAATGCTATGCAGCCATAAAATTAACAAAACCATGACTTTTGCAGCAACATGGATGCACCTGAAGGCCATTATCCTGAGCAAATTAACACAGAAACAGAAATGCAAATACCACATGTTCCCACTTATAAGTGGGAGCAAAATGTTAATTACTCATGTACATAACGATGGCAGCAACAGACACTGGGAACTAATAGAGGGGGAAATGAAGAGCGGGTTAAAAATTAACTGTTGGGTTCTGTGCTCACTCTCTGGGAGTTGTGATCATTCCTGTCCCAAACCTCAGCATCACACAATATACCCATGTAGCAAACCTGCACTTGTTTCCTCTGAATCTAAAGTAAAAGTGGAATTATTTTTTAAAATACTGCAAAGGAAAAAAAGTTGGATATTGTTATGAACTCTGTGCACATACACTCACATAAAATAACCTTAGAGCCTTCCTCTGAAAATGTAAATCATCTCACTATTAATTTAACCACACACTATTGACTTCCTAGAAATATTTACAACAAAGTTTACAGAGTGTATTTTGTATCACTATTTCTTTTAAAATGCCATATGGCCGTTGCCTAGTAAATCTCACAGTGGTGACCTATGTTAATTTGTCACATCAGTTCCTCTTGTTTTTATACAGGTTTTAGTGGCATTATTCTGTCTTAAAACTAGTCTTATGCAATGAAACATTGCATTTTTAAACCTAATTTTCAATTCTCTTTGAATTCAGACCTTCCTTATACTGCCATCTCCTGGAAATGTCTGGTCTTGAACAACTTCTCAATTTATTCAGTTAAGTCTTGCTAGTCAGGGGCTTCCTATAAGTGATGAGTGTCTAGGTATATTTTGCCCTCCCCAGTGTCTTTTCTTATAGACTACACTCTGAGTAATCACTTGTCAGTAAGCACGCCGATTTTCTATAGTGCCTCATGACCTCATCTTTGGGTAGTGGAATCAACAGGGATATTGTGAAAGAAAATGGCCAATATTTACCTTTTTTTCTATCGTCATTTCAAGACTGGTTATAACCAGGTTATAAGGCTAAGTGAAGTAAACATAATTTTAGGCACTATCAGGCATAATGCAGCTAGAATCTGATAAATAATTTTCTTAGAGGATCACAGGGGAAAAACTCAATGAAATGGGAAAATAAGTATTCATCTCATCAGGCTTGGTTTTAGATGATAGCCCCTAGCAATGTGGCAAAAGTAGAAGAATATCAAGTCTGGGAGTCCAGAGACAGAGCTTTTAAGTCTTATGTTAACTGTGTAGCCCTGTAGAAGCCAATACTTCTCTCTGCTTCTCAGTTTTCTGATGTGTAAAATAAGAGAGCAGAACTAGGTGATCTATAAGTTCACTGCAAGCTCTCTCATTCTGTAGTTTTCCAAAAGGTCAAGAAGACATTGTAATTAATCATATCCAGTGAAAGTTGGCTGTTTCATCGAAATGGTGTTGCTGAGCCTTACTGAGATGGGGGAAGTTACACTTAAAGGTTTGCCCATGACTGCTATTGAAAGACAATGTATTGATAATAATGAGTCTGTGTATGAAAATTGACTGCAGTTATGTTTTATGTCAAGTGTAAGTTTTCTGATGCTCTGTCAATGTTTCTACCATTTTGTTGCATTCTAGTATTAGAAGCTCCTGTCATGCTATGTGAACACAGGCCAGCTTTACACATTAGTAGCCAACTAGGAAGCAGGATTTGGGAGTAACAGATCTAAAAGACCTATGGTTTGAAACATTGTTAACTCCTGATAAAATGTGTTTGCTAACATATACATGAAGTCTTTTTTACTAAATCAAACTTTAATTTGGGATCGTTTATCATTTCTCTAGTAGAGCAGGTTTCTAAAGGTATTGGGACACTGGACTATGAGATACAAGAGCCAGCAGGAAGACAAGGGAGGTCCAAGGTACTCGGCTATTGAGGGAAAAAATGACCACAATCAGCTAGATGTAGAGGTTTGGAGAAGTAAAAATTGTGCATACAATTATCATTTCATGAAGCTTGAGAGTCAAGTAAAAGAGAAATCAGAGTATCAGGAACAATAGAGACTGGCCCAGTTTTTAAAATCATCAGGCCCTAAGATCTTTACAGTCATCTAGTCCCACGATGTAACCTGGGCAGGAGACCAATAAATCTGTGTAAGACTACATATCTAAGATTCAGTCACTAGAGGTCAGCACTGAGAAGACATGTGCTCGATATTAACAGTGTCCAAGCTAGCCAGATATGTAACTGAGAACATTCATTAGGAAGTGCAGCCACTGCCTTTGGATACTGCACTTCATTCAAAAATAGAATATAATCCATGGGGACTTTTGATGGCTGTACATACAGATTATTTATAATTCAAAAAGTTGAAATCTGAAATGCTCCAATATCTGGAAATTTTGAAGCACCAACATGATGCTCAAAAGATATGCTCATTGGAATATTTTGGATTTCAGATATTTGGATTAGTAATGCTTAACCAGTGTAACAGAAATTATCCCAATATCCCAAAACAAAATGAAATTCTAAACATCTCTGGTCATAAGCAGTTTGGATAAGAGATACTCAACCTGTATTAATAGTTTCCTAGACCAGCTATAACAAAGTACCACAAACTGGGTACCTTAAAACAACAAAACTATTCTATTACAGTTCTGGAGGGTAAATGTTCAAAATCAAAGGGACTTCAGGGATATACTCTCTTTCAGGCTCCAGATAGAATTCTTCTTTGCCTCTTCCCATTTGCTGGTGGTAGGACCAACCATCTGTGTTTCTGGGCTTGCAACTGCATCACTCTAATCTCTGTCTGTCATCTCATGACATTCTCCATATGTATCTTTCTCTGTGTCTTCTCTTCTAAAAATGACACGAATCATACTGTATTAATGGCCTGCTATAATCCAGTATCACCTAATCTTAACTAATTACATTTGCAATGACCTTATTTTCCAATAAGATCACACTCTAAATTACTAGGGATTAGGATTTCAAGATATCTTTTTGGGGACACAATTCAATCCCTAAGACCTTACATCAGACAAGATACTCTCCAATAGGAGACTATTTGCAGAAGAAGACTCGCTTTTTCATCTACTGGACTGTCAGTGTTTTGGGAACATATTGCGTCTCTAAACTTCATGCCTGACTTGTCAGATTGGCCTTATCAACCCATCCATTTTCCCCACATTCCTGTATACAAAACTCTCCATTAAGGGTGGTTGATGCCCTTATCCAAAAGGCAAACTTCATCCCCTACACTGACTTCTGGTCTACATTAGCCACCACCATCCTTCTTCTCCATACATTGCCACCATTTGTATTCCAGTTTTGGAGGGCATGGTTTAAATTCCTGAAGTCCAAGTACATATAAAGTCCACTGATCACCCACAGACCTATGCTCAAACAGAATGCATACTTGAGAAATATTCCCTATGTGTCATCTTCTGCTGAAAACACTGCTGTTATCTTTATGTAATCTAACCACAGAAAAATGCATGGCTAAGACTTGTCTGTATTTCACCGAGATGACCTCCTAATGCAATAATTATGGATTTCACTCCCATTGCTTCCTCCATATTTATGACACCATTTACAACCAAGCAGCTAGTCAGTAATTAAGAAAGCTATAGCTATTCAGCAGTCTAGAAGAAAATCTTGGATACCATTAGAAGTTATTTTAAGGATGTTATGACATAATGGATATAAAACATCTAGTACCTTACTTTACACACATGGTAGAAATTAAATTGTAATTTTTAAGCTATTATTGTTTCTCCACTTTCATATTTTAAACTCCCTCTAAGATCATGTTATCTAATTATACTACCTCTAATCTCTCCTAATTAGTGTCTTCTTTAGACTTCCAGGGCAATTTCCACATTCACTGAGGACATTAGTACTTGGGATCCTCAAATCTCTCTCCACATCTTTTCTTGACATCATCTAGGGCAAACTCAATATTTATGTAGATTATTCCAATTAACAATTTAGCTTTACCAGTACTCTTGATCACCTCAACACCAAAAAACTTTATTTTCAAAGTCATACATTTCTATGACTATACTTTAAATGTTGAAAATTCGTCTCTGGAAATTTAAGCTCCAGTATTCCATGTTCAGACTGTGATTTTTTATTCTTCCAGTCATCTCATTCATTTATTACCACCTTATTTAAGCTTCTACTGGGACCCTCATTTTCCTGGACCTGGGTCTCTATAGATAGTTCACTTACACATTCCCTTCTCTATCCAGTCTGAATCCCATGATCTATTATTTATTCATTAGACAAATATTTTAAGTGTGACTTCTATCTATATTGTACGCACTGTTCTAAGAAGTTTGTACATAGCAGTGAAGGTAAAAATCCACACCTTTATAGAGCTTGAATCCTTTTTTTTTTTTTTTTTTTTTTTTTTTTTTTGTTTTTTTTTTTTTTTTTTTTTTTGAGATGGTGTCTTACTCTGTCGCCAGGCTGGAGTGCAGTGGCACAGTCTCGGCTCACTACAACCTCCGCCTCCAGGGTTCAATGGATTCTTCCACCTCAGCCTCCTGAGTAGCTGGGATTACAGGCGCATGCCAAACGCCTAGATAATTTTTGTATTTATAGTAGAGACGAGATTTCACCATGTTGGCCAGGATGGTTTCTATGTTTTGACCTCATGATCCACCCGCCTCAGCCTCCCAAAGTGCTGCGATTACAGGCCTGAGCCACCGTGCCCAGCTGAGCTTGCATTCTTATGAGAATAAACAAACAATTAAAACATAAAAAGCCGGGCGCGGTGGCTCACGCCTGTAATCCCAGCAATTTGGGAGGCCGAGGCGGGTGGATCACGAGGTCAAGAGATCGAGACCATCCTGGTCAACATGGTGAAACCCCGTCTCTACTAAAAATACAAAAAATTAGCTGGGCATGGTGGCGCATGCCTGTAATCCCAGCTACTCAGGAGGCTGAGGCAGGAGAATTGCCTGAACCCAGGAGGCGGAGGTTGCGGTGAGCCGAGATCGCGCCATTGCACTCCAGCCTGGGTAATAAGAGCGAAACTCCGTCTCAAAAAAAAAAAAATAAAAAAAAAATAAAAAAAAATAAATAAATAAATGACAATGTATTAGGAAATGCTAAGTGCTGTGGAGAAAACCAAGCAGAGACAGAGGTATAGGGAGTGCTGATAATGGAAGAATGTGTCTAGGAAGAAATTTTTGATAAGGTGACATTTAAGGACGACTTAAAGGAAGTAAGAGAGTAGTGATTTCAAATTCCTGATACGTATTAGTCTTTGGAGTCCACATGAATAAACTGGAATTCTTGGGGATTCTCAGAAATTAAAAAATTATAAGATAGTATTTTTCCATGACACTTTTCTTGTGTGTTTTTAATTATGAATTACCATAATAATGTATAATAAATTATTTTTCTCTGGTACTAAAAATTTCAAAGCCTTTCTGCAAAATAAAACCCAATATTATTATTTGTGCATAAGTTATTATTAGGAACCAATATATTGTGAAAAGTTTATATATATCCAATAGATAATTGGTAACCTTAGAAGAGACCACTAACACAAAAAAATCAAATAAAAATCATTTAAAAACATGAAAAATGATGACACAAATATTTATCAGTTTAAAGATAGCATTTTAAACATAACACATAGATTATATTAACTACTCTACCTTGATTTTTGTTTTGTCACAAATATTCTAGAAATAGAAAAATGTCATGCTTTGAGATTGGTCAAATTTTTAAAAGTGCATCTAAAAACATCTTAAAGTATGCATTGGATACATGTAGATTCATATAAACTCAGTTTCTTTTTCAATGACCAATGTATTTTGCCTGTTTGCCCTGATTTTGGTTTACCATTGAGATCAATATTATTTTTGCTACTTCAGATTTTAGTCAAGTTACTTCTCCCTGTATCTCCTTTGTTGAAGTAGTTACCAAAAAACCTGTACTGGATGGCAAATGTCTCAATACTACAAAATGCCAGTGAATGTTATTGGGTAATAGTTGAATGGCATGGCATTCAGGTCCACCTAGCAAGCTTAACAGCACTACACAGAATCACATGTTGAAATTGCCAGTTACAAACTTATGTTGCTTCTAAGACTAGTTATTTATTAGAATTCCACTAATAGATTCTGTACATGTGTAAACTTATTAATACTTATTTTATTTGCTAGAATGGCTAACCATTTGCTGTAGACAGGGCCACAAACACAATTATGACAACAGCTATAAGCAAGACTGACTGATTATGTTGTGATTTTTTTTTCTCTTATATGCTCTTGTCCTGTACTGAGAAACGTCAGCATCAACCTTCAATTTCAAAAGCATAACACTTTTGCCTTGATATCAGTGTATTCCTCCCTACCAGTTATGTCTCTATATCTCATTAACTTTTATTGTCACAGAGGAATTAAATATTTTCTCACTCTTCTCAACTTCTTGACTAATTTTTCTCAGGATTAAGAATTTTGAAAAAAACATGCAAATATCCTGAGACATTAGGAGAAGGAATTGCTATATGAAAACACTACGAGGAATCAATCCAGAGCCTGTCTGTGGGAAGAGTGTTCCAGCCAGAGGGAACAGAAAGTTTAAAGATAGTTAAATAGGAACATTCCTAGAATGTTCAGTGAACAGAGAAACGGTATTTTAGCTGGCGTGTAGTAAGAAAGGGGGAGAATAGTAGGAGATGGTATTAGAGACGTAATGTATGTGACAGGCACCTAGAGATTTGATCATACAGAGAAAGTATGAGGGAGAAAGGAAGGGAGGGAGAGAGAGAATATAAATTTGGGTCGTGGGAAAAGGTAGTCAATAACTATAAATAGGTTGTTGTCTGGAACAGGAATAACAGCTTTGCCATTAATTGAAATGCAAAAGACTGTTGAAGGAGCAAGAATCTGAGGGAAGGTAAAAGTGTTAAAAGCTTCTGGAGCGATTTTAGAACATGTAGGGCCTAAAAGCATCTGGAGCTGTTTTAGAACATGTGCTTATGTAGGGCCTACAGGTTGGTTCAACCAGGTGTGGTGTGTACATAGCACGTGGGGAAGGCTGGTTACCCCACCCTAAACTTATTATGCAAATGGACTTTTCACCCGGCCAGTGCCATCTTGTCTGCTCTTTACTGTACACGTGGCTAGCAAAGAGAAGGGAAGATGGAGCTGCCATTTTCATCATGCCTAGTTCCAGGTAGCCTTTTCCCATTGGCACAACTGCCAGCATTCATCTGTGCAACCTTCCAGCTTGTTTGTGTATGGCTGCAGCTCAATTTTATAGACTTCTCTTTGTTAGAAAAGAAAACGATTTGGGAGCTGCTTTTCATTAAAAGGAAAACCTTACCAAGGACTTTCTTACCCTCACTATCTGCTTAAATAATTTCTGTTTACCTCCTATATCACTAGTTTATCAATTGAATTACAACAGTAACCTGTCTGCTTTTAGTTTATCTCCTCTGTA